TCAGACTTCCAATTTGCTTTTTCCCGGGCCAGGAAAAAGCAAAATGTATCAGACTTCCAATTTGGAAAGCAACTTGCCTCGCAGATTTCCAATTGCTTTCTCCAGCCTGGAAACAATCAGCGCCGGGGAGGCTCGAACCCACAACCTTCTGCTTATGAGTCCGGCGCCTCATCCAATTTTCAGGCTCACAGCTCGCTGAAGAAAAACTATTTTCAGGCTCACGACAGGCAAACTGGGTGTCCAGGGCGCTCATCCAATTTGCTTTTCCCGGCTCAATTTCCCGGGCCTGGAAAAAGCAAAAGGCTCAGACTTCCAATTTGCTTTTTCCCCGGCCGGGAAAAAGCAAAATGGTTCTCACATCCAATTTGCTTTTTCCCGGGCCTGGAAAAAGCAAAAGGCTCAGACTTCCAATTTGCTTTTTCCCGCCCGGGAAAAAGCAAAATGGTTCAGACATCCAATTTGCTCTTTCCCGGGCCGGGAAGAAGCGAAATGGTTCAGACTTCCAATTTGCTTTTTCCCGGGCCTGGAAAAAGCAAAAGGCTCAGACTTCCAATTTGCTTTTTTTCCCGGGCCGGGAAAAAGCAAAATGGTTCAGACTTCCAATTTGCTTTTTCCCGGGCCTGGAAAAACCAAAACACAACGCTCATGTTACATCCTTAGAACCGCGCGCTGGAGTCACCGACCGTGTTGTCTGCGCAATTACAGCCGCAGAACCCACCACCTCACCTCACATACCTGCACTTGTGGGCACACTATGAGTGCATCTGCAGCTGGAGTGTCCAGCGCGTGCTTCCAGCAAGAAGAGTGGGGTTTGGCCCTGTCGTCTTTCGCGTCCGCAATGCGAACCTTTCGCCATACTTGCGCAGTTTCCCACGACAAAGAATTTTCCAAGGGTCGGGAAAAAGCAATTGGAAATGTATAAGACTTCCAATTTGCCCGGGAAAAAGCTAAATGGTTCAGGCTTCCAATTTGCTTTTTCCCGGGCCAGCAAAAAGCAAAACGGTCCAGACTTCCAATTTGATTTTTCCCGTGCCTGGTAGCTGGGGAAAAGCAATTTGGCTCACAGATTCCCACTGGCTTTCTCCAGCCTGG